GTATGTTGTAGTCGACTGCTGAGGTCTGTAGCAGCTAATGGTTCTGGTCTGGGAGCGGAGATCCAGCAGTACCTGGAAAACGAACAGTCTGGTGAGCTCTCTGGTTTCCATAGAAACCGTGTAACACTTGTTCATTCTGAAATAAAGTCGGTCCCTCTGAGTTGCAAATTCATGCTGATCGTGAAAATGTTCCCCAAACCGCCATCGCCTGCATTAACTACAGGAAGCAAACAGACTGGAGAACAATCGGGTCAGAAAAAGTGATTTTTCTTCTACGTCACAGGGATGTATATACAATAATATACATACATACATATATATATATATATATATATATATATATATATATATATATATATATATATATATATATATATATGTAGTGCAGCTATGTATATATATATATACATAGCTGCACTTCTCAGAGTCCTCCACACATCACACACTCACACGGAACCCCACTGGTGTGAGAAGTTCTCCGCTCAATAATATCAGACAATGAGAAACAGCCGGCTGCTACCTCTTCAACTTTAGGACAAAAGAAAAACACCATTTGAAGTCACAGACAACAAAAAACATGTTTGGACGTAGAAAACGGTGACTGGTGTTTAGCACTGTCTCGTTTCCTCTGGTAATGTGGGTTTTCCGGTTTTGGCAGAAGGGAAGATTCCCGAGGGGAGGGGTGTGTGTTCCCTGACCGCGTTTAGGAGGACCGGATCAGTGTTTTAGCACGAGATCCATGCAGCTGTTTGAGGCACAAGAAGGTTTAGATGACCATAGGGCTCCTCATCTTCTTCCAGTTCTTCTGTCTGTGTGTGTATGTTGGTTCCATTGGATTTCTGATCAATGTTCTGGTCCAGTTCCAGACTCCCTGGTGCTGCAGGCTGTGGAGCAGCGTCTCAGCCAAGTGGACTGCAGCAGTAGAGGATGGGTTCTGCACGGGTTTCCATATAACCTGCATCAAGCCAGGAACCTGCGGGGGTTCCAGCACCAGCCTAACAGGTACGCCACCAAGACCACAACTAGAACCAGAACCAGCCTGGATCAGGTTTACAAGCCATCTAGTGGCATCATGATGGGTTCTGGTCCTAATCTTGCTGCCTTTCCCTTAGGGTGTTCTTCCTGGAGGTGACGGATGATGTTTGTTTGGAACGTACCACTCTGAGAAGGACAGACTGGGTCAGCGGGGAGAGGTCAGAGCTCCAGACCCCCCCCCCCCCCCACACACACACACACACACACACACAGACTCACCTGTTTGTTTCTACAGGTACCACACCGTGACTCGACCGCCTCAGACAGCGGTCCAAAACAGACTGCAGGCAGCGCCGGACGACAGCGCTGAAGTTATGAGGGAGAGGCTGGAACGATACAGGGCCGAGTCAGCTGGCCTTCAGGTGAACACTGCACACCTGTACCCATCAGAACCACATCTGGGTCTTAGAGTAAACATGAAGCTACAATGATCAGAACCATACTCACCCATGTGTTTGTGTTCAGTCTGTGTTTCCAGATGCGTTTCGCATCGACGCGGCTCAGAAGTCTCACAATGTGTTCGAGGCTCTGGAGCGCCGCCTGAACACCAACTAACAGCCGGGCCTGTCTGGACCCACCTGGTCTCACCTGCACCTGCCTGGACAGGAAGATTATCTGTGATTTAATGCATGAATCTATTTGTTTGTTTGTTTTTGAAATAAACAAGTTGTGGTTCTGTTGCTTTCTGCTGGGTCATCTCTCTAGGTGCTGATGGACCCAGTGTGGCCCAAACAGAACCTAGAATACGGTTCTGATGGTCTCCACAGAGGCTGTGCGTGTGGATTGTGATGGTTTATCGGACTCAGAAGGGACCGGTCCGGTCGGGTGACGGCTCGCAGCCTGAATGAGATCTTCAGTCGTCCGAGTCCAGCTTTTAGCCTCAGATCTGTGGTTCTGTATTTGTGTCGGACCGGCCTGAGGCGGTTCTGTTGGAGTATTTAAAGCAGCCAGTGAGTGACAGCAGCTTGAAGCTGAAATGTCCCGTTTAGCAGCGTGTCTTTGAACTCATCTTCAAACAGGATTTTACTAAATGACTATAATTACCCTCCTGGTCCCAGACAGCTGGCTGATTGACAGCTCTATTTTTATCGTGGGGTGGGGCGGTGGTGTGTGTGTGTGTGTGTGGGGGGGGGGGGGGGGGGGGTCCTGATTCAGTCCTCCAGCTGAGCATTGGAGCTGGAAGGAGAAACGTAAAGAAGAAAGAATTGTTTAACCCTTCGATGATCCTCGGCTCAGTCTGGCCCGAATGAACCCGATACTTTATCTGGACTCATTATTCCAGAGGAGATGAAGACAAGCGAAACTAAAGGAACCAACAGGAACGTTTAAACCTTCTCAGGTGTTTCCTCGTTAGCTTTACACCACCGGACCGGAGCAGACCTGTCATTCTGTGATTCTCCAGAACCCACAGATGACCCGTCCTCACTGATGGTACATGGCTGCTCAGTTTAATGCAGGATGATCAGATCTGCAGCCATCAGCCTCTTAAATCATCTGCAAGTAACCAGAGAGCAGAAATGTAACCAAACAATGCAGTGGAGCTCCGGAAAGACGAATAAACAGCTGCTGTCTTGCATTATTGTTGTTTACGGGCTGTTTGGATGATTCTGTTATTGTTTTTGTTGTTTCTGGCACCTCAAAAACCTGCACAAAGATCAAACCTGCTGAAACGTAACTGGAAACGCCTGGCCTGGTGTCCAATCCTAGATTTGTAGTGGAAATTAGAGACAAAGACACTGAAATGCCTTTTTCATGTTTTACCGAGGGCATTGATTGTCACTGGGGGTAGGCAGGTGTGTGTGTGTGTCTGTAAACCTTTAGCTTAAAGCTGGAAACAAACACTTTCTGACATGTCTACTGATGTTCTGCTGTAACTCAGTCTCACGTTGCATTAACAGAGTTTACCTTCATAACAAATTGGAGTAAGGTGACAGATGTTTGGCGGATGTTTCTTGCATTTGCTGAACTATGATGGCTGAAAGGAGAACAGTGGAAGCTTGTGCAGCAAGTTGGACCTTGACGAAATGTAAAATGAATCCTAAAACAGTGTTTGATGAGTTAAGCTAGTGTTATTATTACAAAATAACATTAAATAAAGTCCACAGAGTAGCCTCTTATAAAATACATTATTTATAGATTACATTATTTAAAATGTGAAAAATAAAGTTAGCTTGTATTCAGTATTATACCTGATGTAATAAAATGTAACATTTAGCATCAAGTAAATCAAATTATTATGGTTTTCAGAAAATGTGAACTTTATTTTATGAAAATGTCTACCTATAAACTTTTCTAAGATCATCCACCACACAGTCCGTTAAATGACCAACGTAATTATTTGTTTAGTCCCAGATAGCAAACATTTTGGTTTCATTTTGGTTTTATTTTGGCATTAATTGGGCATTTTGGCATCCTTCTGGCACAAAAATGTTCGAAAAAGTATTTTGGTTTAAATGTGGCATAATTTTGGGTTCCCATTATAGACAATTACATCAGCGAGTGTTTCTGTTTTAACCGTGGCATAATTATGGTTTGCCATAATAGAAAATTAGGCGGCTGGCTATTATGGCATATTCTGGGTAGCCAGAAGAGAGCGGGACAGCGTCTGTGACTTCTGCAGGTGTGCTATGGGGTTATTTTGGCAAGCCATAAAACTCATCAAATGGCGGGAAAAATAGTGATCGAAGACCGGGAATCAGGACTAATTTGTTCATTTCTCCAGCATCACGACAGAGGTGAGTACTATTTCTTCTTGAATCCTACCTTTTTGTTTGCTATAGTTTTGTTTTAGGTCAGTATTGTTTGTTTTAGCAAAATGTAATATTCGGCCTCGTTCCGGGATGAGTATGATGGAGTCGGCAACTGATGGTGAAAAGAAGCTGAAACAAGGTCTTTATGACACAAAAACCAAAGCAAGGCAAGTCAGACGTTTGGAGCAGTTTCTCCGATTGTGTTAATATTTCTCATTCAGGTCTCAGAAAAGTGACCTTGATCACTTCCTGATTACAGAGGAGAATGGAATATGAAACGGCCTTGATTTCATTATCCCTTTAAGCACCACACAGTAGCTCCTTTAGGTTTTTTTAAAGAATTTTATAGTTTAAGTAGCGAGTTGTTTGAAATAACATGCGCCAATGCGTCACCGGTGATCCTGGTGACGCATCAGCGTTAAAGGGTTAAAAACTAAATGAAAACGAAGTGCGTCAATCCTGACCAATGTGTTAAAAGACGTGCAGGATCCGATCAATTTGTTTTTCCCTCATTTCCAGTCACGGAGATAACGGCGCACTGGCTCTTGTTAATCAAGTTAAATTTAATCTCTTTCCAACAATTTTCACAAGAAAACAAAACAGTTAAAAGCAGGGCTTGTGTTGTGTTGACCGGATATTTGCCGTACTTGACCGTTTATTTTGACGGAGAAAGAATAGAAAGAATACGCATGCAGACGAACTGACATTTTATTGCAGATGTAGCTAAATCACCCGAGAAAAGATTCCCATCTGAACATCTGAGCTGGACACCGCTCAGCGCAGCTCGCTGTCAGCGCATACATAAGGTGCACAGCGAGCTGAAGATGTGGAGAGGGGCTTGGAGCGTGTCGCAGAACCAGGGCGCATGCGGGAAGGTCAGAAAATGTTCCCTGATTATGAAACTTTGGCTGAATGGCGCTTGTTCCTGTCTCCAATGTGGCAACACATCCCTGAGCCTGTCTGAGGAGAAGCCCAGAATCTCATGTCCTCTTCAGCTCAGAAAATGCCAATTACGCACAAGCGTGACCCGTCAACCCGGTCTCACAGTAAGACTGGGTTGGAACTGTTCAGGTTTACGCAGACAATCTTTACATTTAGAATTGACTTACAGATATAACATTAATTCAGTAAAATATAAAGCATTTTATTTAAATATCCATTATTTTACAAGCACAGAGAGCCGCACCAGATGGATGGAAGAGCCGCGGGTTGCCGACCCCTGGTATAGCCTATAAAATGACGTTTTCTCCAGGACCAGAGAGGACACAAACTCAATACATGTCTTTTATTGTGAGGTAATAATTTCTCAGAGTTTTGCGGTTGCGGGCGGGAGTAGACATGCACACAGCGGGTGCGGGAGTGTTACACACACGTTGCGGTTGCAGGCGGTAATGGTCAGAAATTCAGCGGGAGTGAGCAGGAGCGGGATATTTAATAAAGATAATTAATAAAGTGACACAACATGAAAATGTACTCTGTTGTGAACACAGATGACTTAATGAGGCGAGGAGGAAGCTCCCTCTTGCTGAGGAGCAGACAGACCTCCAGTCTGAGGCGGAAGCCATTGAAAGGCCTCAAAGAAGAATTAAGTAAGAATTTTGTGAACTTTCCATTCCTCCACCTCTTGGGCCTGTGTTGAATTTGCACTCATTAACTTAAATTAAATGTTTAATTCAGAATAAATGTTGTCTTGTGTGTTCATTTCCAAAGGCCAAGCATATGTCCAGGACCGGGCCTCATCAGAGGATGAAGCCCAGACCCCTGGAAGAGGGCTTCCCCCACCCCCAGCCATCCCCCCAGTGAGGAGAAGGTTCATCCTCCCCAATAACCTGTACCTCTGCCTGACCTGACCAATTACCAGGTAATGGAAATCTCAACAAATACCACAGTAACACATGTATAGCAAATGGGTTTGAGTGTAGCTGATCAGGTAAGTGTGGTGTTTCAAATGTGATACATTAGGAAATTTACAAAGGTGAATGAGGCAGTTACATGGAGAAAACAATTCTGGAGCCATGATGTCACTGTTGAGGTCAATAATTGCATTTTGTAAACTGTTGTTCTTCTTCCTCTCCCTCTTCTACTCACTCTTCCAGCATGTCATGACCCTGGGGACATCATTGCGGTAGGCCATTGACCTGCAGGGTCACCAGGGAACCCAGGGGGTTCCAGTTCCAACTCCCTCTTCATCTGGTGGGATGATGAGGGAGGAATTGGCTGTCCAGGTGCCTACAGTTTGCCCCAACTCCTCTCCAGGGCAGTGGCAGCAGAGGGACGACACAACATGTAAGGTTTTTATGGTTTACACTCACCCAGTCCTCACATGCCAGTTTCAGTATACAAACACACATGATCCACGCATACATACTAATATAAGATGGTTTATAAAGCTAAACACACACACACACACACACACACACACACACACACACACACACACGCACACACACACACACGCACACACACACACACACAGAGAGAGTCTGAATGGAAAAGAATTATGTTTATGTATTTAGCAGACACTTTTGTCCAAAGCGACTTACAAGTGATAATCGGCATGTTGCCCTTGAGGCTAACAACAACAATAACAACAACTTGACATCAGTCATGGAGAGGAGGAAACAAGGAGTGGACAGTAGAGAGGGGGGACGGGTGCAGGGAGGGTGCTAGTTTAGAAGATGCTCTCTGAAGAGCAGGGTCTTCAGGAGTTTCTTGAAAATTGAAAATGAAGCCCCTGTTCTGGTAGTGCTTGGAAGGTCATTCCACATTTGTGGAACGATGCATGAGAAGAGTCTGGATTGTCCTGAGCGTGGTGTAGGCACTGCTAGCCGACAATCCTGTGATGACCGGAGCGGCCGGGCCGAGACGTAAGCCTTTGCAAGAGGATTCAGGTAGATGGGAGCCGTACCATCTCGGACTTTGTATGCTAGTGTTAGCAATTTGAATTTGATGCGTGCTGCTAGCGGTAGCCAGTGGAGCTCAATGAACAGAGGGGTGACGTGTGCTCTTTTTGGTTAATTAAAATGCCACACACACACACACACACACAACATCTAAATGCAAAAATGCTTAAACTATGTTGTTTCTTTGTGTCTGAAATGCTTTTCAGCTCTCCTGCATGAAGTCCTGGTGAAACAGGAAATAATCCTGCTGCAGCAGCGCGGCCTCACCACAATGGTGAAGGACCTTTTTGTTGCTGTTGCTGCTCTTCAGGGCCTGACCACAGGGGGAGGTGTGGAGACCAGGCACCACAGCATCTTCCCCTTGGTAGATGTTCAGGCCCTGATGGTCCTGGAGAGGGAGCTTGGAATCAGTCCAACATTGGCCCATGAATTGGTGAGCTTTTTTCTGTTCTTTACAACAAAGTTTTGGATAATGCATGTTGGCATGCACATCCAATTTATGTGTTGGTCAATATCTTAAAGTGGTAGATATGCCAAAGGAGTTAAAGGACTGCTTGTGCAGCCAACAAGCTCCACCCAATTATCCCCCCCCCCCCCCCCCCACACACACACACACATTTCAGGTCTCTGCCCTTCATCAGGCAACCACGAAACGCCAAATAAATAAATAGTGGAGCACAATGGCTATCCAGGCTTTTCTTTAAGTTTGTATAATATTTGTTTGAAAATTCAATGAAAATCAATCTTTGTTTAAAAAATTAATGAAGATCAATTTTTCTAATTTTAGGGTTCAACACTCGGCCTTGCGGGGGGGTCCACAGTTAAGGACACGGTGTGGCGGGTCCTCAAAGGAGCCATGACTAATGCCCTCACCAAGGGAATTACTTGGCGAGGGCAAAATGGGAAGGTGGCCTTTGAGAGGCTCCACCTAAAAGGCATTGTAATTGGTAAGTTTAATCACAACAATAACACGACTGTTCTATCACACAGCTGATAAAATCATAGTTTAGGATAAAGTTATTAGCCACCCATGACAATCACATTTCTTTTCAAAGTCAAAATACTTATAGTCTTAACAACTCGTTCGCGAAATGGCACGCAGTGCGCCTGTGAATATCTCGTAATTATAACACCACACTATCGCTGGCTTCAAGACAGCTATTGCCACTTTGCCCGCAATGTGACGCGTTCTTCAGGGTCAACTCTCGCTCATGAAATTCTTGTTTGGTTTTAGTGTCAGGAAAGAACTGCTGGTTTGTGTTTGGTAAACTGTGTTTGGTAAAGTAAACTGTGGCAGTGTAAGTACTAAGTGACTATGATGATTTAATGTTGTAACTTTGGCTGTCACTTTCAACCCCATATGACGAGATGCATCCATTAACTAATGCAAAACTGACTTTTTAACTAGCCAGTTACTTAGCCCACCACAGGTCTCTTTTGCATGGACTGTTGCGTCGTCCTTTTCTAAGTCTTTCTCCATGTGTATGCCTTTATTTTCAGCTGCAGTGAGAAGGAATCTGGTCTGTGTGGCGTCTACGGAGGCAGAAATTATAAATACAATTAAAAAATGGTTCTACTGGGCTGGGGATAGGGACGGAGGGCGCAAAAGGAGAATGCCCGCCCAACCAACCCCTCAACCAGCCCAGGACTCAGTCCAGGACTGACCTTTACAAAAATAAATAAATAAAATATTCAAATTTTACTCTTGTTTGGTTTTATGTTTATGCACCTCGTACACACAGTAACCTAGGCTATTTCACAAGGCTATTTAACTGAGGCACAAAATCTGAATCTTCTGTACAAGGACATTTTATAGTCTATTAAAATGTTAAATTAAATTTAGCATAAGGTTCAGAATAAAATACAATCTTTTGGTAAACGTATGGCTAATTATGGATAAGTTATGGTTCATATTTGGCTTTATTATGGGGTTTTGGGATGGTTATGGCTATGCTTTGGAAAGCCACATTTTATTTTGGGTGATCTTTTGGCAAACGTATGGTTACACTTTGATATCCTTTGGCCATTTTGTGGTGTTTTGGGGTTCTTTTGGTATAGTTATGGTTGTGCTTTGGAATTCCACAATTTCTTTTGGAAGAATTCTGGCAATCTTTTGACAATCCATAATTCTATTTTGGCGTGCCTTATTTGGGCCATATTTGGCCCATCATTCCACCCAAAAGAGTACCAAACTGGCATGCCAAACTAGTGCCAAAAATGATTCTGGCAATCTTTTGACAATCCATAATTCTATTTTGGCGTGCCTTATTTGGGCCATATTTGGCCCATCATTCCATCCAAAAGAGTACCAAGACTGGCTTGCCAAACTAGGGCCAAAAAGAATTTGCTATCTGGGGTTTGTCAAACATGAATATGTTTAAACGTGCTGGTAATACCAGTCGTTTCCCTTTAGCTGAGTTAGCGCCAGTTAGCTTCTAGCTTAGCCTACATGTGGTAAACAGTATGTAATAAATTACTTTAAACTTGTCACAAGAAAACTTTGGAAAATATGCATTAATGCTAATGTGCTTCACGTATTTTTAACAAAGCAGGGGTCACCACCCTGGGAACCATAAGGTGTCCACCAACAGCACAAGCCTAAAATAAAACCTAAAAAATCTGCTGCCATCTTTTTAATCACAGATGTTTGAGTATAGGTTTTAAAACAAAACAATCGTTATGATATGTTAATGTTACATGAGGTTTTGTTTAGCTCTGATCAAGGCTAGTTCAGGTCAGTATTGCGACAGCCCGGCAGCACTTCCGGTGACGTAGCTCTCAGCTTCACAAAGCAGGTGGTGGTGGCTCTGAAACCGCGGGTCTAAAACTGCGGGTCTGCAGCTGCAGCCGTACCCTTCTCGTTGTTGAAGCCAGCTGCGCATATGCAGGAGGCGGAGCTTTAGTGACGTAGGCGGAAAAGATTTCCACGCGTGTGCGAGCGTGTGTTTGGATGTTTAGTCGAGACTAAACTTTATGATTGTTATTGACCGGAAGTGGCGGCTGTTAACTAACCGGAGTTGCGCAGACGCACGTGTTTGCGTCTCTGCGGTTATTTCTTGTCGACTTCGGGACCTGATACACAGACGAGCTGCAGACACGCGTGTTGATGATGTCATCAGCAGATGAGCAGCTGTGTCTGAATATTTGCAACAGCGTTCCATCATCATCATCATCATCATCATCATGGAGCACCAGCAGGAAATTACCTACAGCTCAGCAGAGATGGGCGTCAGTGAGTGCACTCACGCACACAGCAGGCTTTCAGAAGGAAGTCTGAGGCGCGTGCCCGGCCTCCTCCTGTCAGTCCTGACCAAGTACCAGAGATGGAAACGTTCTCCTGTTGAACCTCAGAGAGGTGAAAGGGAAACAGATAGGTGGAGGTGTCTGTACTCTGTAGTGAGAAATATTCACACTGATGGGGTCACATGACTCTGGTCATGGTGGTCCTAGCGGGTCTCCATCATCAACATCTTGTGTCTGGATCGCATGTCTCCTGGGGAGATGAGTCCAGGCTGCCCTGTAGGTGCAGGTTTCATCTCCCAAGTCTTCAGTACTCTAAATTACTCGCTAAATGTAATTGATTACTTTGGCACTTCCACAAAACAGATTAGCTATAACTGAAATAATTGTTCTGTCATTTATTGAATCGTCGTAAGACGAGGAGAAAATGGAGGCAGATGAATGCAGCCAGTCAGTGAGCTGCTAGAGGGAAAAGACTAGAAGAAGGAAGAGGAGCAGGACGAAGCTCAGTCACCACGTGATGGTCCAGAGTAGACCAGTAGAGTAATAGAATGTTGTTTGTAGTGAATCATCATCGTGGAACTGGAAGTGGCACTAAGAATAAGACCGTACGTTCTGTGACCAAACAGCGTTCTTCTGTTTGGGCTCGACTAACGTTGCTCAGAGGGGCTGGAGATCATGGTTCCAGCTGAATGATCTCTTTGTTCCAGAAAAAGCAGAGAATGAAGAGGAAGAGGGGACTCGGCTCCTCCTCCGAAGAGGTCAAACAGACGAGATGGACTCCTCACTCAGCTGATGAGGAGGAGGGGTTTGGTGTAAAGGCTCCGCCCACTGATCTAACTCCCAGTACACCACCAAAGAAGAAGGAGCGAGTACAGAAAACAGGATGCAGCGGCATCAAGACTTCATCTTTGTTCAAACATAATCCAGAGGTCCCAGAGTTCCACAGGTATGCTGCACTCTGATTGGCCCTGCTGATCAGCTGACTGGTCAGTCAGTGGGATGACTTCTGCCCTCTTTCCTTTCAGTCCAGTTGTTTCTGAGTTAAAGGAGAAGATGTTCACCTCCGACTCGTTTTCAGACCTACACCTGCACCCCCACCTGGTGACTCGTGCACACACACACGCACACACACTAAACCAGGGTTGTGTGTTGGTGAAATTCTGGCGATACGATACGGGGAGACGATACGATCTATCACGACATATTGTGATACATTCAGCCAGACGACATTAGCGATTTTTTTAGTCTGAATTTATTGTAGGAATATTCAGTAACAGTCCAAACTGATACGTAGCACGTTTAACGTGAGGTATCCGAACCTGTTCTCACACACACACGCACACACACACACATACACGCAGCATAACGGAGGGATTTACATTTCAGTGGTGGAAACGAAACCCGTTGTACTCCACTGCTCGTCAGTGGTCTCCGTTTGAATTGCACCTAAAGAAAAAAAAGAAAATACACAAATGTTTGCATGTAAATTCTTCCAAATGTTCGATACGCGGCTTTTGAATATCGATATAATATTGCAGGAAAAAATATCACGATATGTTTCCATATCGATATTTTCTTACATCCCTACAGAAAACGCACACAGACGTGTCTGAATTCTGATTTTGTCCATCAGGTGGCGACTCTGAACAAAGTCCTGAATGCTTTCATACTAACCAGGTCTGTTCACACACACACACACACACACACACACACACACACACACACACACACACACACACACACACACACACACACACACACACACACACACACACACACACACACACACAGAAATGAAGCTGAAGTCAGCTTGTGAATTATGACCTCTGATGCTTGAAGATTTTACAGTAAAGCTGTGTGTGTGTGTGTGTGTGTGTGTGTGTGTGTGCGTGCGTGTGTGTGTGTGTGTGTGTGTGTGTGTGTGTGTGTGTGTGTGCGCAGCATCCAGAAGCAGACCATTCCTGTTCTTCTCTCAGGACGAGACGCTTTAGTTCGCTCTCAGACAGGATCAGGTGAGTTGGACCTGCAGCAGCGGACGTACGATCAAGATCCTCATCTACAAAGCTCACACACACACACACACACACACACACACACACACACACCATCTCTGAACTGAGGATAAATGTGACCCCTGGTTCTGTTTTGTAGTAAATGTGGACTCTGTCTTCAGGTAAGACGTTGTCCTACGCCGTCCCACTGGTCCAGAGTCTTCAGTCCCTCGAGCCAAAGGTCAGCAGGTCTGATGGACCTCTGGCTCTGATCATCGTCCCCACCAGAGAGGTTCTGTCCCACCTTACCTGTTTAGATCAGAGAGCTTTATGAGTTTGGTTCTGATTCAGATCCTGTTTCTCCTTCAGCTGGCTCTCCAAACCTTCCAGACCTTTCAGAAACTTCTCAAGGTAACAAACAAACCCTTCAGCGGAAGTTCTCCCCTAGAAGGACTGGACCCATTTCCAGGTTCTGACCCAGTCCTGGCAGTTAGTGGTTCCTACGAGTTAGAAATCGTTTGGTTCCAGTTGAACTCGTCCCTGAACAGAACCAGAGCTGATGGAAGTGGATTTTATTTATGACAGTTTCTGTGAAGAACCGGGTCCATGTGGTCCTGGTTCTGAGTTTGGATTTTCTGTCACTTCAGCCCTTTACCTGGATCGTCCCCGGTGTGCTGATGGGGGGGGAGAAGAGGAAATCCGAGAAGGCCAGGTATCAACATCCATGTTCTGAAGTCTGACCCAGCCCGGTCCAAACTGACCCGGACCCGGATGGAGACCCATAAAAACTCTCTAAATCCCGCTTTAGGATCCGTAAAGGAATCAACATCCTGATCTCGACTCCTGGACGTCTGGTGGATCACATCAAGCACACCCTGAGCATTGCCTTCAGCGCCGTCCGCTGGCTGGTTCTGGACGAGGCCGACAGGTAACTCACCTTTCCTACGTTGGAACCAGAACCGGTTACTGAGTAAAAGTCCGTGCTCCTGTTTGCAGGACTCTGGATCTGGGCTTTGAGAAGGATCTGACCCACATATTAAACAGTCTGAACTCTACTGGACCGACCCGGCAGAACGTTCTGCTGTCTGCGACCCTCTCACGAGGTAAACGGAACAAACCACCACCCCGACCCGTCCCCGCCGGATCATGTAGCCCTAACCACGCCCACTTGGTGTTGCAGGTGTGACTCGATTGGTCGACGTCTGTCTGACAGACCCCGTCAGCGTCCAGGCCTCCGACCCGTCTACCTTTGGCCCCACCCCTGCAGCAGCGTTGACCTGTGACCCTTCCCCAGCTAGCCAATCGGAGAGCTTTGCTGTACCGGAGGCTCTGAAACAATTTGTGGTTTTGGTTCCTAGTAAGATCAGACTGGTCTGTCTGGCTGCCTTCATTCTGAATAAATGCAAGGTAAGTCACCTGAGGCTGGTCATGTGACTGGTCGCCGTGGAGACTTGACAGACCGCTGCCGTTTCAGTTTTCGGACAACAAAGTCATCGTCTTCGCCTCGAGCTGCGAGGTCGTCGAGTTCCTCCACTCGCTCTTCACCTCCGTCCTGTCCAATTGCCCGGCCAATCGCAAGCTCCGGTTTTTACGTCTCCACGGCAACATGAAACAGGAGGTAACTCCGTTGCTTGCTGAGATTGTCTCTCTCCTTCTGATTGTCTGAGGGTATGTTTTTTTTTCTTCCCCCTGCCAGGAACGCTCGGAGGTGTTTGAGGAGTTTTTGGTGTCTGCAAGTGGAGTCCTGCTGTGCACGGTGAGTACGGCGGGCGTTTGACCACTAGGGGGCGGTGCTGAGGCCTCGCGTTTAGCTGCCTACTGTGTTCTGGTCACTTAGGTAAACCTCAGTCAGAAAAAGTTCAATTTACTAATTTAATTAAGAAAATGTAATTGCTGTTAGGCTCTGGGATTACTCTGATTACTGGGATTACTCTGATTTCTATTACTGAAGTTATGGTGTGGCGTTTGTTTCAGGACGTTGCAGCCAGAGGGTTGGACCTTCCTCAGGTCACCTGGATCGTTCAGGTAAAGGCTGCTCATGAAGGATCTGTTGGTCCAATCGTGCTTTAGCTGATAAATCAAGTCAGCCAATCAGAGAGCGGATGTTGTTGTTGTCGTCTTTCAGTTCACTCCTCCGATGTCAGTAGCCGAGTACGTTCACCGAGTGGGCCGGACGGCCCGGATCGGAGGAGCAGGGTGCAGCCTCCTCTTCCTCACTCCCTCAGAGACGGCCTTCATCGCTGAGTTAGCCAATCACAACATCAGGTTTGGACCCGGCGCTTGTAGAACCCGTAGTTTACTGGTACCGGTTCTGGTTTCTGACGGACTGACTGCTTTGTTGTTTCAGCCTGTCAGAGATGAAGTCGCAGGATGTTTTGTCCTGTCTGATGATGGATGACACCTACAAGGGGCGGGGCAAATACCACAGCCAGGTGGGTCAGACATGGTCCAAGAAGGAGTTCCAGGTTCTGAGCAGGTCTGGTTCCTGTGGACCGACAGAAGGTTCTGGGTTTAACTGACAGACCTATAGAGAGCTTTTTTGTTTGGGGGGTTGTAAAAGACTTTGGGTTTTTGGTTCTGCTCAGGCGTCTTCTGATCTCCTGTTCTGGAAAGCTGAGCAGAAACGGGTCTGAAACTTTAGTTCCATAACCCATCCGGTGCCGCGAGCAGAACCTTTGTTACGGACCGTAACAGAAACACCTGTAATGGGATCCTCTGCTGATGTCTCCATAAGCCCTCCCCTCGGTTCTGACCCAGTCTGAACCTGAGCCGGTCTGGGTTTTGGGAGGCTTTCAGACACAACCAAACAGGGTTCCGTTCCGGACCGTGGGTTCTGGGCCCGATCCTCCGGAACCACTTCATTTATTTTTTTATTTCGGGAGGATGAGAACCGTTTTAGACGTGGGTCCTCCACTTGCTGTGTGTGAAGACACAAACGGGTCTGAACGGTACGAAGACCCGGCTGACGTGTTTGTGACTGATCGGTTCAGACAGAGACCCGATCCAAATCCTAAAGGTTCCGGTTCTGATGTTTGACCTTGCGCTGGGGGGGGGGTTCTGATCATTTTATCGTGTTAT